TTCCCGTGTTGTTTATTGCGTATCATAGTATCTCAATATGCCAGCGAACGCATAGTTGCACTACAAGATTGTGCAGCCAGCGTAGGCAAGCCTTGGAGGGGCATTGCCGCAGGATGCAGTTGGGCCACCTATCTTGTGCAAATGTATGTGCTTGCCCCGCTCGACGTGTGGACGCAGGCGCATTGTCATATCAGGCTCGCGATGTTTATAGATGATATGATGCTCCAGTGCCACGGCCGCAGTTACAGCCTCATCGTCAGCCAGCTCAATATTGCTGTCAGGTCCATGACAGACTGCATCACCAATGAGTTTAAGTGCCAGATCGCCAGCAAGAAAAGTCAGGTCCTGGCGTCCCAACAAGCCCTTCAGGATCAAATCAGGACTGCTCTCGGGCCTCTGGCAGGCCCGAACGCGGATCGGTCTGGACCTAACCTGGGATGTGAAACAGGGGCTGGACGGCCCCAGCGCCGTTGGAGAAAGCAGCGTAAGATTTCGGAACGTCTTGATAAGATGCGTAAAAGACGTAACAGGGTTCGCATGCTCAAGAGAGCTGGGGGTAACACTCATAAGCTGTATAGGACTGGCCTCGAGGCGGCCACCACGTTCGGAGTCGAGGTGACTGGCATCAATGGCACGCAGTTGGAATATGCTAGGTCGCAGTTTTTGGCTGCTGCGGGACCCCGTTGCCCGACGCGCAGCCGCAGCCTGGCCCTGCTCATCCTCAAGGACCCCTTGTGGAAAGCTGCCCTGGGCCCTGCCATAATGCGGCACCGCCTTGTCTGGGACGCCGCCACCCGCCCCCACCTTGCCGTGGCCAGTCTCCAGCAGTTGCGTGTTTGGGCTGAGGCCATCCCCCCGAGAGTTTCAAAATCTTGGGGCTCCTCCAGGGGCCCCCTCAGCGCCGCGGTGCTTTCGCTTAAAAGGATCGGTTGGAAAGGCCAGGGACCATTTACTTTTGTGACCTCCTCAGGCATTGAGTACCCTCTCCCAGGACATTCCCCCGCTCCCCTCCAACAGCTCATGGAGTTCGACTGGCGCGGCCAGCTCGCCCCCAAGGCGGCCGAGAAGATCGGCCACCCGAACGCCCAGTTCGATGTGGTTGCTGCCCGTGCTGCTCTATCGTCACCAGACCTCCTTGGCCACCAGAAGGGAACCCTCCTCGCCTTCCTCACTCAGAGCATATGGACTATGGACAGAGCCAAGGCAGCAGGATACGAAGTCGAGACTGGCTGCGAGTGCGGCCACCATTCGGACAACCTCGGCCACCGCATACTATATTGCCCGAAGACAGAGAATCTCATAGCCACTCATTTCTCGGCAGCGGAGCTTCAGAATTTAAGAGAGCCTCCTCCCCAGACCCTGCCCCAGTACCTCGGCTTCCAGTTGGTCCCCGAGTATCGTGGTGAGAACCCTCCTGGTTCGGGCCTGGAGTTTGGGGAGTTTTGGTGTGCTCAGGAAGGGGTCACCCCTCAGGAGGCTTTCAGCGAAGGGGAACTGTATATAGACGGTAGTTGCACTAACCACGGTCACTATGTTTTCAACGCCGCAGGTTTCGCGGTTGTCTGGTTGCGTAACGGAGAAGCCTTTGCCCATTTCAGTGGCCGAGTCGGCCAGTTGTTTTGACAAACCTCGGGGGCCGCGGAGCATTTGGCCGCTGTTGCGGCCAGTATTCTGTCTAGGAATGTTGAAGTGATTTAGTCTGACTATAAAGGAGTTCTGTCTCTGCACCAAGGTACAGAGCACCCTCGGCACAACTTGTGGGATGGGTGTAAGGTGTTGGCCGGCAGAGGCCAGTTCCCCCTCGGCCAGCGCCTGCGTAAGGTAAGGCCCACCAAGATTTTCAGGCCCTCTCAGAAGGCAGTGAAGGGCGACGGTTGGCCGAAGGTAATAATGCTGCTGATCGGATTGCCAAGGCTGCCGCTTTTAAAGGAATGCAGCCCAGCGAAGCAGAGAAAAGCGATTTCACTGACAGTCGGAAGTTTCTCTTGCGTTATTTGAAGTATGTTGCTCAGGCTCTGGGAGAGTGGCCCGCGATCGCCCCGCACTGTAACAAAGCCTTGGCCGCCCCAGAGAAGAGCTTGTCTCCCCCCCTCGGGTGCCGCCTCTGCCCTTACGTCGTGGACGCCGCCGTCGTCGGTCGTGCCTCCCCCCCTCCGCCTCCTCCTGAGCCCCAAGAGGAGCCCAGGGAGCCCTTCAGGTATCACACGTGGGCTCTCATCCATCAGTACCATAGGTGCATCCTGTGTAGGGTGCAGACTAAGTCGTTCAAACAGCGGGAAGTTTTACAGGCCCAGCATTGCCCAGGCCACTGTAAGCAGCTTTCCGATCTTGTGCATGATAATAAAAGGCCATGAATTGTTTTACTACGAGCACCTTGATCACCCGACGAGTATCTTGGTTTGCCATAAGTGTGGATCCTTCTCTGAAGGGTTGGGTCGAGGGCTCACTAGTGTGTGCAGCACTAGAGTGAGCCACCAAGGAGCGGCCACTCAGCTAGCCCGCGTCCAAGAGGGTCGAGATCCAAAGGGCACTAAGTCGTCCCCGATCGTTTTTAAGACCCCCGCTATTCCCCTGGCCCAGCTGGTGCGCGAGGAGCGTGCCAAGGCCCTGGGAGAGGAGGCACAAAGCCCTCCATAGTCAGCCGCGCTCTCTCGCGGCGGACATCGAACAGCCCCAAGCTGTGTGCGTGTCCTCCTCCTCCTCTTCCTTCTCCTCCTCCTCGTCCTCCACCTCCTCCTATTTCTCCCCCTCCTCTTCCTCCTCCTCCTCCTCTTCCTCCTCCTCCTCCTCCTCCTCCTCCTCCTCCTCCTCCTCCTCCTCTTTCTCTTCCTCCTTTCCCGTGCCCTCCCCCCCCCGTGGCCTTCCAGGCAACCCGGAATTGTCAGCCCCCCGTCTGCCTGCCCTGCCCTTCCGCTATTGCGGCGGCGAGGAGGTCCGCGAAACATTTGTTTTAATCGTCCGCCCCAAAAGTTTTTTTACCACAAAAATATTTTTACCCCCCATTACGTGAGAAGCTTCTGTTTAAAGCAGTCAGCACTAGTTTTGGGATGGTGTTTCAGCTATTCATATGCTTTAACTAGTCGTTCAACTTCCGGGAGGACATGCCCGACTTGGGGGTAGGACCCAGGACCGGGATAAATCGGTCCAGAGCATTGCAGATCGCTGTCGGCGCGTTCCCAGGCGCTCCGGAACGGCCGCGGCGCCCATTGGAACTGTTGGATTTCCACGAACCCCCCTGGGCCGACGTTGTCCCCGTCTTTCGGAGGTTGATAGACCTGCCCTGACACGTCGATCAGTGAATTGCCCGTGTTCGGTTCTCGAGAGGGCGCCGCGGCCGTCACTTTCCAGGCTTGCGCCCGCCAGGTTTGGGCCCGAGGTCGTTTCCACGAAACCACGTTTTGCCAAAGGGGGTTTTGTCCATCCCCGATGTTGTCCCTGTCTTGGCCTCGTCGCATCCCGGGGGCATTCGAGCGGCGCGGGGGCCCCAGCGCGCGGTGAGTCGGCGGGGGCTCGGTGGGTCTCACAGCCGGCGGCCTCCGAGGTCCCAGCGCCGCGCGGTGGCGGACAGCGTGGCGGTGTTTTTTGGGATCCCGACGTCACCACGCGGAGCGTCACCACGCGCAGTTTTGGTCGAGGGAGAGGACACGCCACAGGCAGAAACGTTTGGCGCCCCGCGCGGATTGCTCGGATCTGCGCCAGGACCCCCTTGCCTGGCGCGCGGAGAGGCGCCGCCCCGGGGGGTCCGAGCGCAGATCCAGGAGTTTTGCGCGGAGCCTCCACACTTTGTGTTTATGGCGCTGTTTCTTCCTCCTGCCTGGGGCCCCGAGTGGCCCGAGCACATTCAGGAGGGGAAAATACACACAGACACAATTAATCGTGGATTTCCCAGAGAATATGGGAAACATATAGGAAATGGGGGGGAAAACAAAAACCCAGAAAACATGGGACAAATATGGGGAATCCTTTTACCTGTGTGTATTTGTTTGTGTGTCCTTGGGCCCCTTGACACGTGCGCACCCCGGGCCAGGCGCCGAAGACATTTTGGCAGGCGCCGCCGCGGCCTCCCGGCGGGAGGCGGACCGCCTCGCGCGCTTTCGCTGGCCTCCCGAGCAGCCAGGCGGGAGGAGGGGGGGAGCACTCGGGTGCGGAAAGAATGCGCACGGAAAGAATGGGCACAATGCCTCCTGTTCAGTTTGAGCAGGACTCGTTGTCCGCGCCGCCGCGGCCTTTGCCCATTTGGGACAGAAGGCCGCCTGCCCAACAGCGGCCGCTGTTGGTTTGGGGCAGCATTTGCTGTTGGGCCTGGTGCCCCTTCTTTCCGTGATCATCTCGGGCGTCCAAAATTGTCGGTGGTCCGAAGATAAGGCCCTGGGGGCTGGGCTCCCAAGAATAGAAAGGGATCCGGGGGTGGATCTGCGTTGCTTGGGGCACCTCGTCCTTATAGGACCCCACCCCTCAGGACCTCTGCGGGCCCCCGCTTCAAAGAAAAGTCCTTGAAAATGGAAACGGCAAAAAAAAACAGCGACCGGAAACGGCAAAAAAACCGTTCCAGGATTGGAACCGGAGCCGGAACCGGTCAAAAAACGGCGGCGGAACCGGTACAAAATCGGCGTCGGAACCGGCAAAAACATTGCAAAACGGAACCGGTAACAAAACGGCCCTATCGGTTCCAGGGCCCCCTAAGCTCAGGACACCATCCTTGACCGAACTTGGCCGCGACGGCGGCCGTGGCCGTCTTCGCCGACGTCGCCGACGTCGCCCGTCGTCCACGCTGTCGGTCGCCAGCGATGTTGGTCGCCGACGTCCGTCGTCGTCGTTCGTCGTTGTTTATCGCCATCTGGCGTCGACGCCGTCTGGCGTCTGCCGTCGTCCATCGTCGCCGTCCGTCGTCGACGCTGTCCGTCGCCGTCGGTCGTTGGTCGACGCTGCCCGTCGACAGCGGCTGCGGTCTTCGGCCGCTGGCGTCCGTCGCCGCCGTCGACGGCGGCCCTTGCTGCGAGGCGGCGCCGGCGAAGCACCGCGGCCTCGCCACGTTCGCGGCGTTCCAGAAGGCGTGCCCCTCGCGGTACGGCGCTACGACGAGGCCCATTAGCTCCTCGCGTCGTCAAGAAATCACGACGGTTGTTTTGTTGTAGTTGCTGTTTTCTGCCTCCGGGGGCATTCGCCGGGCCCCGGGACCGTCAAACATCGATTATCCGAGCAGAGCACCAGAATAGCAGTAAAGGTGAAGAGGCGGATCGATGAGTAGGAACACGTGCAGTTCAACATATCCTCTGGGATCCTATGACCTCGACGATTCGGGGTAGAAGAGCGAGAGCATGGTTACACGAACCTCAACTTGTCTTCAACAGCACGGCTCGTGGCCGTTCAGATCAAGCATGCAGTCGGCATGGAGGCGAGGGCCTCCTCCTCCTCCTCCTCCTGTAGATTCCCGCGCAGGTTGTGAGGAAAAGCCTCGGGCGACCCAGCTGCAAGGCTGGGGCGACCTCGGGTAGCCAGGCGCCGCGGAGCGCCTCGGGCTCCCCCCGTCCCTCCCGAGGGGCGGGGGCTCTGCCGTCGTCTTCTCCGTGCAGCTGCTTCGGACGCAGCTCCTGGGAGGTCAAATTCTGATTTTGCCCTGTCGCAGGCCTAGAGATTGACACCAACACCAATCTCGGCAGTGTTCCTCCACCGAGGGAGGAAGATCCCGATCTCGGTGATGGTGGTAATATTCTGGTTTCCAAGGTGACCGAAATATGACCACCAATACCGACATCTAGGATCATCTCCCCCGTGTGGAGGCAGCCCCCTGTCTTGGTGTTGGTGCCCATTTCCAGGCCTTCAACCCTGGTCAGTAATCGGGCTCAGTCCGGCTGAATCCCGTTTTGTTTGGCTTTCCCGCGTAATCCCGCTTCATCCGGCTGAATCCCGCTCAATCCGAGGCCCACTCTGGCGCAACAGCCCCAAAATGGGGCTCAATCCTTTTTTAAATCCTTCCGACGAAGACCTCCCAGTAGATGCTCCCTAGAATGGTTCGAACCGTTTGCCCCACAGAAACGCCATTTATGAGGGAACTCAGGACGGAAAGGTGGTCCCGCGGAATGGTCAGGCGATCGCAAACATGGATCAAGAGGGCGTGGATCAGCGACGGGTCCCATTTCAATGGGAAATCGCTGGTTTCCGCCGCCGAGTGAGGCGGCACTGGCCGCATTTTGGGGGTGGCACCCTCCCCGATCCATGTTTGCGCGCCCCAGAAAAGTGTCGGGACGTCTGGGAGTCGTCGCTGTGACACAAATCATGCCGACGTTCGCGGCGTCCCAGAAGACGTCCAATCGGTGGTTGCCGCCGAGGATCACCGGCAACCTTTAGGGGGGACGGAATCAGGGAGTTCGAAGTGTGCGATTCCAGTTTTTCATACGGTTCTGTTGGCTCCGAAAGGTTTTCCAGCCTTTGGGTGCTTTGCAGCCTGCACCTCACCGCGAGGATGTTCCAGGGGTGTCCGAATTGTCCCAGACGGCCGCCGGAGAGCCGAGTTATGACCCGAACGGGTTCTTTGCGAAGGGCCTAACCAGAGGCTGCTGTGAGTACCGCGCTGTGGGTACTCCTTTCGGTGGAGTTCCCCATGGGGCCATGGGGCGTGTGAGGGGTGTGCCGATAGGCGCGTGGGGACGCATGCGACCCCTGCCACTGAGGACTCCGCTGGAGTACCCTGTGGGGCCACGAAGCGTGTGATGGAAGTGCCGGAACGGGTGCGGCGCCCACGTCAGAACGGTGCCTCTGAGGCCTCAGGCGGAGCTTCCTATGGGGCAAAGAACCGTGTGATGGGTGTGCCGAAACGGGCGTGACACCCACATGCGAACGGCGCTCCTGGGGTCTTCGGTGGAACCCCTATGAGGCAACGAAATGTGAAGGATTTGCCTAAACTGGTGCGACGCTCACATGCGAACGATGCATCTGAGGCCTTCGGTGAAGCTCCCCATAGGGGCCACGAGGCGTGTGAGCGGTGTGCCGAAATGAGCGTGACGCCCACATGCGAACGGTGCTTCTGGGGCCCTGGGTGGAGCTCCTTGTGGGGCCACGAGGCGTGTGAGGGGTGTGCCGAAACGGGTTCGATGCCCACATGCGAACGGTGCCACCGGTGCCTTCGGTGGAGCTCCCCATGGGGCTACGAAATGTGTGAGGAGTGTGCCTAAATTTGCATGCGGAGGGCAAGGGCAGGGGTGGGAGGAGAGGGAGGAGGGGGAGGCGGGAGGAGGAGGACGAGGAGCAGGAGGAGGAGGAGGAGGACGCGGGGCGCTGTCTCTTCAAAACGAGAAACCAACACCACAGGATGTTCGGGAACTAGAAGGCGTTGTTAGGGGGGGGTAGGCTCATGGGGTCACGCATCGACCCGTCCCCCCCTGACAGTCCCCAGAGGGCGAGCTTAGCAAACCATCTTAAGACGCAACTCATGGGAGGTTCAATTCAACATCGTTGCTGGTATGCTTGTGGTTAAAAGCCAGCTCAAACCGGAATAATCCTTGTCAGTTCTGGGTCATTCCGATCAATCTGGCTTTACACGGCCTAATCCCGTGATCAATCTGGGCTCATCGGGCTCAATGGCCGTGGCCCATCGATCGGGCTTGATATCTTGCGATCGTTCTCACGAAGGCCCCCCAGATGTTGTCTCCTAAACCATCGAAGCAGGAGCGAATTGCACAGGCATGATCTCTCGGAAGCCGCGCGGTTTTCCTGGATTAGCGCAGGACCCCCTTGGGCGGCGCTGGAAGAGCCGCCCGTGGCGCGCTCCGCACGCCAGGGACTGGATGAGAAGGTCTAGCGCCGATCCAAGAAATCAGCACACTTCGAGTACAGTCGACAAGGTAGGGCCCTCGGATCCAGGCGTCGCGAGAGGATCATGATGGCCGTTTGTTGTGTCATATCTTCGGGCACCGAATCTGCTTCTCGCTAGGCAAACTGAGCTGGCCGGTCTGCTTGTCTGAACTGACTGGATTGGACTCCCTTACGTCGGGCCTGTCCCTCTACAGGAGGAACATTCAAAAATATTCAAAAGACTTGGGGACGATTTGTTGGACCAATTCTTTGAATTTTCGGATATATTTGTAACTATTTCAAATTTTCCCTCCAAGCTCCGCCTGTAGGAGGGCACGCCCGACTTAATTGTACCCTCGAAGCGTTTTCCCGTCACAGTGGTGGGAAGAGGGACTCGCCAAAGCTGCTCGGCTCAGGTGGGCCACACTATAACTCTGCACCCCCAGGGCGATCTCACACAAAAAACTTCCTCTGGTCAGGGCGGGAGGGCTTCTGCGGGGCCCCCTGCCTTCCGAGAAGGGTCTGCGCCGTGGGCGGCAGCAGTGCAAGCACGCCGCGCCGCCCCCTCCCGAGAGGCGCTGGGCGCGCTGGGCCTCCGGTACGGCGAGCCGGAGGCGAGGGCCGGGGGACCCCCGCCGAGGCAGGAGCTGGGAGAGGCCCGTCGAGGCGGTGGGCGAGGATGAGGACCTCCTCCTCCTCCTCCTCCTCCTCTTCCTCCTCCTCCTCCCCCTCCCCCTCCTCCTCCTCCTCCTCCTCCTCCTCCTCCTCCTCCTCCTCCTCCTCCTCCTCCTCCTCCTCCTCCTCCTCCTACCCCTCCTCCTCCCCCTCCTCCTCCTCCCCCCTCCCCCTCCTCCTCCCCCTCCCCCTCCCCCTCCCCCTCCCCCTCCCCCTCCGCCTCCACCTCCTCCTCCTCCTCTCCTCCTCCTCCTCCTCCTCCGTCTCCTCCTCCTCCTCCTCCTCCTCCTCCTCCTTCCTTCCCCCTCCCCTTCCTCCTCCTCCTCCGCCTCCTCCTTCTCCTCCATTTCCTCGAGGAGGGGGGCGAGGACGAGGACCCAGACCCCCTCGCGTCGCGAAATAATCTCGACGGGATTCTGTTGTTACCCTGTTCTGCATCTGGGGGCCCTTGCCAGGCCCCGGGGCCGTCTGTCAAACGACGCGGGATAAAGCGCGAGTCCTAGGGAATTTTGGTGGAGACCTTTGGGGGTCGACGTCGTGAGAAAGTCATGACGTCAGGGGTCTGTGGACGGTGATGCTGCGGGTTGTGCACAGACAGCCCGCCCAGGTAGTCCTGGCCGGCCTCGACTGCAGGCCCCCCCCGAGAAGCTCCAGACGGCCTGGCGCCCCGAGCACCCCGAGCCCTGGCTGGCCTCGACTGCAGGCCCCCCTCGAGAAGCTCCAGACGGCCTCAACGGTCACACCGAGCAGCCCGAGGCGTTCTCCACCATTCAGCCAGGGGGCGCGGAGCGCCCAAGGGGGCGCCGCTGGAGGCGGGCTGTCTGCGCGCAGCCCGAAGCCTTACCGTTGAGTCGGGCCTGTCCCTCTACACAAGGAACTTTCAAAAACGGTAACACAGCAAACATGGGGACAATGGTTTGATCTGTTGGGGCATGTTTGGAGTATTGGTTGACACTTCTTTCAATTGTTCGTCCAGAATCCACCTGTAGGAGGCCATGCCCGACCTGACCTTACCGAGCAGGAGAGACCCGTCGAGGAGGCAGACGAAGGAGCACCGGGGCCTCCGACGCATTGGAACACCGCAGTGCCGATCTGCCCCCCCCCCCGTGCTTCGCCCCCTGCCGCGTCGGCACGCGCGTGAAGCCGAACGCCTGCACGGTCTGAGCGCGGCTCGTCTTCCCGCCTGTGCCCTCCTCCGGCCCCTCTCGTGCCGCAGCTTGCTGGCCGGTGCGCCCCGGCGTGGCCCGACCGCGGCTTGATCTTTTTCTTCTGCGGCCGCCGACCAAGCCAAGTTGGGCATGTTCCTGCACATGAGGGATCTCCAAAAATAGTCAAACCATAGTATGGGGCCTATTTTGAAAGCATTGCTTGGAAATTATGTTTGGTTGTTGTTCGACTTTTTTCATTTGGTCCTTCAGAATCCGCCTGAAGGGGGACATGCCCGACCTAAGACCAAGCAGGTTTCGCCTCCCAGAGGGGTCCTCCAGGCCTGCCCCTGGGACCTCCCAGAGGCTGCTTTCTGAAAGGCTCTGGCAGGCTCTGTTGCATGGCACATGGCACTCCCGCCCTTCCCCCCGCCCTTCACCCTCTCCGCGGCCCTTTCTAGCGATCGTTTTTTTATTCCTTGTTTTGCCGATCGGCGCGGGCTCCCAAACCCCCTCCCCCCCCCTGGAGTGGACCTTGGCTGTGTTTTGGCTACTATTTCGAGCAGGTGGAGCCTCCCCCATAGTGGACGCCCTGTCACAAACAGTCGCATTAAGCAGAGTTCCGGAGCCAGACCGCCCCATCCCCCCCCCTTCCGCCCAATGCCGAAACGCCGAATGCAAAACGCTCACCTGACAGCGCTGGGCGGCAGAGGCGTGCCAGTAAATCCCATCCCGGCGTGCGTAAAGCCCTGATTTCCTCTCAGGCCACGCCACACCCAGCCCCCGCTTCCCATGCAAGTGCCCATGCAAGTGAATCGGGCCGGACGAAAGGGGGGGATAGGGAAAGGGGGGGTTACGAAATCTGCTGCGTGCAGCTGGTTTCGGCCCACCGCGGGGCCCATTCCTCGATACATGGGCGCCTCTGGCGCCGGGAGGCGCCGGGAAAATCAGCTACGTGCGCTGATCCTCAACCCCCCCCTTTGCTATCCCCCCCTTTCGCCCGGCCCAAGTGAACCCGCCAAAATTCAAGTGAAGGGAAGCTGCCTCCCATCAGCGACTGAGGGTGACAAGCCAGCCCCACAAGGGTCTGGCATTCGGGGCTCCGTATTGGAGACATCCAGACACCAGATCTCGGGAGAGGAGGCTGCTTCCGGACGGGGCCAGGGCGGGGATACGTCCGGTCCAGAGCCGTCCATAGCGCTCTCAGAGCGTTCCGGCACGCTCCGGGTTTGCCGCGGCGCCGGATACGTCCTCCAGAGCCGCCGGTTCTCAGAGCTTCTCAAGGCATCCTCGTTTGGATTTGTCCCCGCCCTGGCTTTGTCTTAAGGCTGTTTCTGCCAGTGGCGAAGCCGTCCCGCCGCCCAGGGGTGCAGTCAACCCGCATAATTACTGAGGATGGCCAACCTTCCCAAAGGCACCCTTGCATCCTTGCCTCCTCGGTCCATCCTTCGCCACCTTCGTTGGCCGCGCCCGTCTCGAGAAGCTTCGAAGTGGGCGTCCATGGCCCTTGCATCCTTTTCGCGCATCATATGGGGCGTTCCAAAGAGGGCATTGCGTTTGAGAGTCGAAGGAGTTGCTGCCATCTCTTCCTCGGTGAAGGGGGGCGGAAGGTCGGCAGATCAAAACGAGGCCGCCTCCGCCGGCGGAAGCCGGCCGAAGGCCGGCGGAGGGCGGCGGAGGTAATTAAAAGATGGGCCCCCGAGAGTTGAAACCGTTTTGGGGCTCAGGGTTTCCGGAATCGGCCATATGTGGTACAGGTCGACGGTGCTCTCCAGCAGCTGCGGTGTGCAGAGAGCGCCCGGGGAGTTCTGCCCGCATGGACCCCGAGAGCGGCCGCCCGAGAGGCCCGCGCCGCGGGTTTGGTGCCACAGGCGGCGTCCCCGGCCCGGGAGGCGTCCCTGTAGGTAGAGGCAGGCGTGCGCTTCGGCTGCGGCCGGCGCGGTGCTTTGCAGGGCGGGCCAGGGCTCGTTTAGGCTTTCCAGATGGGGTCCGAGTAGATGGGGCTGGAGGATCGCGCAGCATCGCTGATGCATCACCGATGCATCGGCGATGCGGCTCGATATGGAGCCCGTGTTTCCCCGCACCGACGTTGCCGATGCGTCGCCGACGTCGCCGCTGCAGCGCCGATGCATGGCCGATGAATCGGCGATGCATTGGCTATGCGGCGCGATCCTTCGACCCCATCTATCGGGTATAGCCAGGACCCCAGGTAGGGGACCCGGTTAGTAGTAGGGCCCCGGAGTCCCTCAGTTGACCAGAATCACTAAACCAGGTCTGCCGTATAGATGGTGTTCTTTCGGGTGACGGCAGTTCCGGTTAGTGGAACGGGGCGGGGGGGGCGTCCCCTACTACACATCACTAGACCAGGTCCCACTAAACCCAGTTCTGCCAACGCCGGACCGTCTACTCGGACCACCCATCTGGGAGGTCTTTGTTGCTGCCAGCGGCGTCCCAGGCCCGAGGCGTCCCCAGAGGCAGGCGTTCTTCGGGCGCTGCCGGCAAGTGGATTCGCATCGAGGATCGGGGCTCAAGAGGCGGGGGTCAATTCAAGCATTGGCGAAGAGTCCTGGCGTGCCTATAGGCCTGCCAAACAATGTTCTAAGAACCTTTTGTGGCTTTGCGAAATGTTCTTAGAACATTTCTGGCCGATATTGTCTTGTCTTAACACCTCGAGCTTATGTTCTAAGAACATTGTTGTTTTTGTTGTTAGGACAAGTTGGGGTTTCACGAACATCTCGTGGTAGGCCTATAGAAATGCCGGGACGGTCAGTCCCTGCTCAAATAGAGGATTGGGGCTCAAGAGGCGGGGGTTTGCAGGATCCTCCATAGCCAGGGCTGCACTGACCCAGGCTTGGGTGCAGGATCCTGCAGGAATTTGCGCGGAGGGTGGGGGCTCAAGAGACGGGGGTCAATCGGCGTCACCCCAACATGCTAATATTAAGTGTGCGTCGCCACCTCTTTCCCCACAGGGGTGACACGTGCACCGAGAAATGTTGGCGGGCGCTTTCCAGCCACACCGCTCGGGAAACGATATGCCAGAAGATGGATGTATTATATGTTCGGATCGGACGCACGCCTCCAAGGAGGACACATAGTATTAGTATGTCTGTGTGCGTCCCAGTCAATACAAACGGTGGTTAGCCAGGGTGCCAGATCTTGCAGGATCATGCATAGCCAGGGTTGCACTGACCCAGGTTTAGGTGCCGGATCCTGCAGGAGCCTGCAGGACCTTGCAGGATCCTGTATAGCCTGATTGGCCCGGGGTGTCTGGTCGCGGGTCAGTAGATCCCCGAGAGGGGGACAAGACGATGCGGGGTCCTTGAGTCGTCCCAAAATGTTGCCGGTGATTCGAGCTATGACCCGCAAGGGTCACTACGGATGTCCAGAATCACGGTCGGTTCGGCTGCGTCGCAGTCGGATGCTGTCGGTCGGTTCGGTTCGGTCAGTTGTCGTGTCCATGTTGCGTCGCCGCGCCCGTCTTGGTTGCTTGCAGCCTTCCGCTTTCGGTTGGTTTTCGTGCCGCCGTGGACGGTAGTGAGGGACGGCTCCTCCTCCTCCTCTTCCTCCTCCTCCTCCTCCTCCTCCTCCTCCTGCTCCTCCTCAGGCAGGTGTTGAGGACCGCCCCTGTAGTTCCTCCCAGGTGCGCTACTCCTGCCCTCCCTCCCCCAACCCCCATGTCGGGCCCCTCCCTCTCTCCCTGCCAGCACGCTCGCCCGTGGCCGCGGGCCTGTGCCCAGCGAGCGGACGCGTCGGCGGTGCCCGCCGCACTCGGGAACCGACGGCGGCGCCGCAGCGGGAGCAGGAGCACGAGGCGCGGGACGACGAGGGACGGGAGCAGGGGCACGCGGAGGCAGGAGGGGCCCCAGGGGGCAGCTGAGGCGATGGGCGAGCCCCCCTCCCTCTCCCCCACAGGCTCCCCCCCCCCCCGCGCTCCGCCCTCACCTCCCCCTCCTGCTGCCTCGCCCTCGCCTCCTGCCCCGCCCTCGCCTCGCCGGCCCTCCACCTCGGGCGCTCCCCCGGCGCGGGCGCCTCCCCTCCCCCCCCCCTGGCAGGGAAGGGGAGGGGCCCAGACGTCAGCCGTGCAACCTGCGTGTGCCGCGGAGCGCCCCGCGGGCCACTCCCCCGGCACTTCGCCCCGGCTCTTTGCGGGACCGGCTCTTCCCCCGGCTCGCTCTCTTCGGCGGCCCCGCGGGGCTCTTGCCGGCACTTCGCCCCGGCACTTCCCCCGCGGGACCGGCTCTTCGCCCCGGCTCGCGCTCTTCGGCGGCCCCGCGGAGCTCGGCGAGGGCCCCGAGACGCCGAGGACGACCAGATCCCAGACCTCCTGGCGTCGCGAAAAAATCACGACGGGAGGTTTGCGCTAGTTTCGGCCCCTGGGAGCCCTTACCCGGCCCCGGGAGCGTCGTGAAAGAATCACTACGTCGGAGGTCTGGGACTGTCGCCCTGATTTGTTCAGTGCGTTGGGGTCTGGAGGGAGGGCTCCCGCGCCGTCCAGGTGGACGAAGTCCTCCGGTACTGCACGACCACCGACGACGGCTACGTCCACTATGCGGAGAGCTCCGCCGCCCCGCCGGGGCCTGGCGGCCCCCGGGGGGGACCTCTTGGCATCAGTAAGCCAGCACTGCACAGCATTTGGCACCCTGTCAGGTCATGGCCCATCATGGCGCACTGCGGCAAGGCATCTGACACGTAGCGCAGCATCCCTTTGCACTGCACAGCTGCCTAGCACACGCCACTGACGCTCACCACACAGCGCGGCACCCGATCGCATCACATCACCTTGCACTGCGCACAGCCGGCCGTGTCGTATCAGATTACAGCGTCTATTATGCGGGAAGGTTGTGCACATATGTGCATATGAATAAGAATGTGTTTGGTTCGATGCGACCTTTGAGCTGAGGGAAGGTGTTTCGTCAGACTTGGCGCATTGGGACCACCTTAGGGGAACAAGCAATGGCATAAACATAAAAACTCGGAGGTCCGCGCGGTTTTCTTGGATCGGCGCCTCCGGCGCCGCCCCTGACGTCCTCCGCGCGCCAGGGAGGGGGGCCCAGCGCCGATCCAAAAACTCCGCGTGGACCTCCAAGTTGTTTTACGTTTACGTTATCGCTTGTTACCCTGCACCTTGCCTTTGGCGATGCGCAGACGCGGATCACACCCTGTCTACCCCAGCCGCTGGCTTCGGACAGGCAATTATTTCAAATGTAGTGTTAAGTCGGGCCTGTCCCTGTACAGGAGGAATATGCAAAAATAGTCAAAACATTGTATGGGGACGATTTGTTTAGCATGTTCCCTACCTAGGCTCTTCCTAGAAGGGTTCTTACTCTCTTTGCTTAAAGGGCCGGGCAGTGCTAACCGCCCCGGGCGGTTCCCCCAGTCTCCGCCCCGCGGTTCCCCCAGTCCCCTGGGAGCTTTAGCCTTAGCTTTAGCTTTAGCTTAGCTTTAGCTTTAGCTTTAGCTATAGCTTTAGCTTAGCTTTAGCTTAGCGTTAGCGTAGTGTTAGCTTAGCTTTAGCTTAGTTTTAGCTTAGCTTTAGCTTAGCTTCAGCTTAGTGTTAGCTTAGCTTTAGCTTAGCTTTAGCTTAGCTGCAGCTTAGCTTTAGCTTAGCTTCAGCTTAGCTTTAGCTTAGCTTTAGCTTAGCTTCAGCTTAGTGTTAGCTTAGCTTTAGCTTAGCTTTAGCTTAGCTTCAGCTTAGCTTTAGCTTAGCTTTAGCTTAGTGTTAGCTTAGCCTTAGCTTAGCTTTAGCTTAGCTTTAGCTTAGCCTTAGCTTTAGCTTAGCTTTAGCTTAGCTTCAGCTTAGTGTTAGCTTAGATTTAGCTTAGCTTTAGCTTAGCGTTAGCTTAGCTTTAGCTTAGTGTTAGCTTAGATTTAGTTTAGCTTTAGCTTAGCTTTAGCTTAGCTTTAGCTTAGCTTCAGCTTAGCGTTAGCTTAGCTTTAGCTTAGCGTTAGCTTAGCTTTAGCATAGCTTTAGCGTAGTTTTAGCTTAGCTTTAGCTGAGCTTTAGCTTAGCTTTAGCTTAGCTTTAGCTTAGCTTCATCTTAGCTTCAGCTTAGCTTTAGCTTAGCTTTAGCTTAGCTGTAGCTTATATGTAGCTTCATATTTAGCTTAGCTTTAGCTTAGCTTTAGCTTAGATTTAGCTTAGCTTTAGCTTAGCTTCAGCTTAGCTTTAGCTTAGCTTTAGCTTAGTGCTAGCTTAGCGTTAGCTTAGCTTAGCTTCAGCTTAGCTTCAGCTTAGCTTCAGCTTAGCTTTAGCTTAGCTTTAGCTTAGCTCTAGCTTAGCTTTAGCTTAGCTTTACTGTTACTACTAATGCTGCTTTCCTAGGGGCTCCAACTCCTAGGTAGGGTCACACTGGGATAATTTTTATCCGTAAGGGCTTCGCCCCCTGCCGCCGGCCCCCTCTCTCGGAGAATGGGCCATGGAAGAGCTAAGTCATGAGGCCTTGGCGCTGTCGTGAAGCAGTATCGAAACTTCATGCGAAGCCGATTCGCAATCAGCAAAACCAACTGATCACAAGAGGGGTTACCACACCTGGCGATTGATAAGACGTGTATGGTTTACGGGCTTGGTTACCACACCTTGCGATTAAAGGGCCGAGGGAGTTCTCGCAGTTTGGGTTACCACGCCTTGCGATGGATGTGCGTGAAGGGTGGCACCGAATTTCAGAAATGTGGCAAATCCCCTGTGTTTTTGGACCCTGACCCCGCGGATCTGCGTGAGGGGTGGCACCGAATTTCAGAAATGTGGCAAATCCCATGTGTTTTTGGACCCTGACCCCGCGGATCTGCGTGAGTGGTGGCACCGAATTTCAGAAATCTCGTAAATCCCATGTGTTTTCTGACCTTGACACCGCGGATCTGCGTGAGGGGTGGCACCGAATTTCAGAAATGTGGCAAATCCCATGTGTTTTTGAGCCCTGACCCCGCGGATCTGCGTGAGGGGTGGCGCCGAATATCAGGAATGTAGCAAATCCCCTGTGTTTTTGGACCCCGACCCCGCGGATCTGCGTGAAGGGTGGCACCGAATTTCAGAAATGTGGCAAATCCCATGAGTTTTTGGACCCTGACCCCGCGGATTTGCGTGAGGGGTGGCGCCGAATATTAGGAATGTGGCAAATCCCCTGTGTTTTTGGACCCTGACCCCGCGGATCTGCTTGAGAGGTGGCACCGAATTGCAGAAATGTAGCACATCCCTTGTGTTTTTAGACCCTCACCCAGCGGATCTGCGTAAGGGGTGGCACCGAATTTCAGAAATGTAGCAAATCCCCTGTGTTTTTGGACCCTGACCCCGCGGATCTGCGTGAGGGGTGTCGATTTCGAGCCCCCCCAGCAATTCAGACAACGCACCCAGGGGGTGCTAAAAATCTTGTTTGGGCCTCCCCCCCCTCGCGCGGTCAATCAACTAGTTACAGTAACCAGCAAGAAGCAAAACTGTAACACTGGAAACTACAACCTACGACTGGTACAGGAAACTGCGAATCACGGGCCTACAGCCTGGTGGCCCCACAAGGGGGCCGGCGGATTATTTGGGGGTATCTTTTGGGTATTTTCAATTTTTCGCCCAAGATCCCCCTGTAGGGGGACAGGCCCAACCTAAATGTAGTGGTATGTGCAGTGGCCCGCCAGCCAGTGCCGCCGATCGGGGGGTGCCCGGCGCCCGACGCTGTCGAAGACTCCGGCGACGACGACGACGACGACGACGAGCGACGACTTTCGACCGAATATCGACGACGACCGTTGACGAGAAGCGACGACAATGATGACGAGGACCTCAGGATGACTGACCACGACGATCGACGATTCACGGCGAGCGATGACTGACGACGGCGACCGATGACGTCGATGACGACATGGAACGACGGTCGACGCGGGCCGGGGCCGGGGACATGTGGCTTCGGACAACTTGTCATGCTGCAGGAGATCCTCGAGGATGGAACGTTGCAACGAAGGAAATCCACGAGTCATCATTCGACGACTGGTTGACGCTTCTCAGCTACTACCGCAAGGCCCGAGCGGATCCAGAAGGAGTATGGAGGAGCAACGAGGTGAACAAGACCTTGGCTCTGATCAGTGTGGAGAGGACACTTATCGGCAGTAGAGCCTGGCCGAAATGACGATCAAGTTGATCAAGACGACGATGGCGAAGCTGGCGAGATCAAGGCCAAGCCGACCAGCCAAGCAGATTTTCAGTCGAGGTGTCTCCTGGGCGCCTCTTGGGGCCCTCTTCGGCTCATCTTGGTAGTCTTGGGGACCATCTTAGGATCATCTTGGAGGACATCGATCGAAGAAGGGAGCTCCTCATTTAGGGCCGCCCCTCGAAAGCCCCTGAAACCGTCTCTCGTTGGGCGCTCTTGGGCGATCTTGGGGCTCCATTGCGAACCTTTTCGGAACGCCAGCAAAGATTATTGCAACCAACATGGGGCGGCGGATCGAAGAAAGCTTCGGCGAGTCACCGCCGCCACCTGCTTTTCGGAAGCGCCTGTGCGGCTTGGTCTTGTGCCCAGAGCTCGGCCGCGCTATCGGACTGTGTGCCCCCCCAGCCGTTGTGGGAACCCTTCGGGGAGCACCCGTAGGAGGGAGAGGAAAGGGAGATGGAGGGAGGAGCAAGGAGGACGATGAGGACTCGAGAGCTGGGGGCCTCTCGACGCCTCCTCGTGCCTCCTTGGGGTCTTTGGGAGCTCCTGGGGATGCTCTTTGGCCGTCTGGGGGCGTTCCTGGCCCTGTTGACGCCGTCGGAGGCCGTATCGGGGTCTCTCTGGGCCGACTTGGGATGCTCTTGGGGCGTTTCAGGGCCGTCTGGCAGGGCGTATTGGCGGTCTCCTGGGCCGTCTTGGACGCCACCTTGGGGCCACCCTGGCGGGCCGTCTCGGGCCGTCAGGGGGCCATCTCGAGGACCTCTTGGGTTTTTTTTGGGGGGGCCATCTTCGTGGCCTCTGGGGCCCCCTGGGCCCGTCGGAAAGCCGAACATGAGCAAACGCCAGTTTCCTTCACAAAAGCACCCGGAAAGCCAATGCTTGTGGCCTCTTCGGGTCTCCCTGGAGGTCCTCGTGGACGCCTCTTGGCCCCGCGTGGGCGGTCCTGAGGCCTGATGGGGTCATCTTCGGGGCATCCTGGCTGTCTTGACGGCATTTTGGGACCGTCTTGGAAGCCATCTTAGTCGATGTTGGCCGTCTTGAATGGAGGCACATTGGAGGCCATCTTGGGCCATGTTGGCCGTCTTGTCTTGGAGAGACAGTTCGGCTACTGGAGTTGGGTTGTTTCGGCGGCTTTCCGGGTAGGCAGCGGCTTGGGCCGAAGGCCCAATGGCAACATTCAAAAAAGACCAACCTACACACATATATACATATATATATATATATGACTTTTAGCGCGCCGTTCAACAGTTGGTGGCAAGCCAACAGGGGGCGGCGCACCTTTTGACCTTGGACCCATCCCGCCAGCGTGCCTGGGTTGTGGGTCAGTGCAATCTTGGGTGCCTCTTGGTGTTTATTGGGATGCCTCTCGGGGGCCGACTAGAGCTTTCATCGAGGCTTCTCGAGGCTTCTTGGCGGCCCCTAAGGGCCTCTTGGCGGTCATGGTGGCCATATTGGCCAGGCTGATTTCTCATTTTTCTGGAACGCTGTCGGTCTTAGTCGGCTTTCGCCCACGGCGACGATTGCGAATCGCGACGTTCCTGGCTTCAGACACCGTTTTGTAAAGCCGCCTTCGTTTTGAAATTACAGTTTTTGCGTGTTCTTTCAGCGCGTTTGTTTCGTTTTTATAATATTGCGCCGTTGCACGTGCGCGATGGCGCGATTTCAGCAATGTCCCAGACAAAATCGTGCGCGGCAGTTTTTTAGTGAAAAGTTGCGGGTGTTTACTCAACACGTTTGTAGTCTTATAGTATTATATGTTCCTGGTCCTCGGCGGTTGCATCTTTCGCAAGTTGCCAGGGGCCTCTCTGGGGGCTCATGCAGCTCACGACTTGTCGCTGGGCCACAGGCTCTTGAGAGAAGCTTTGAACATAGAACACATGATGTGGTGGGTGCGGGGGTGGTCTGGGTCGCCTTCTTTCCACGTCGCTGTAGCAATGCAACATGTTGGCTGGCTGTTGATGTGTGTACGCGTTGCCAGCGCAGTTTCCATTGCGTGGCAGCGTGTTAGCACGGCAATACCGCTGCCTCAGCACTGGTCACCATGATTATCCATGTAGCCATATTGTATCATGCCGTGCCACAGCATGGCGCAGCATAGCCTAAATAACAGATGATGAGGCTTGCGCCAAGAAGGCCCACGCCGTGAGTAGCTGGCTTGAGATAGGGCTCCCATGCGGCGTGGCTAGTCCCTGAATGACGGCGAATGTAGCGAGGATGGGGAAGGGCGCGAGACGGGAGCGAGCCTTCCACCGTAGGCCAATGACGTTCTGGCGCGCCCCCGGCTTGAAGTTGACGGGTCGCAAGTCCTTATGCAAGGAATTGGGGCTTCCTCTGCGTTTTCCCCGTCGCGCCGCCGGTGCTGCTGCTCATCCTGCTTCTGCTCTTCCCCCCCCCCGTAGGCGTGCGGTACGGCAGCTTAGGGTCGGGGCGACGCGGCGGCGCCAGCACGGGTGTTCCAGGTCGACACGAGCGCCACCAGCGGCCCCGAAGCGGCCGACGTCGACCGTTCCGCGCCATCGGGAAGCCCCGATCGGTCAAGCTTGAACGACCACGCGCGGTGTCGGAGGCCAACGCGTTAAGTCGTCAGGGCAGGAGTCTGCCGTACGCTTTCCCTTCCGCCTCGGCTTCTCCCGCAGGACCTCCTCCGCGCGGCCGCGCCGTTCGCGGCATCCCGCGCGCAGCAGAGCAACGCGAAGGCGGCGATCTTCCCCGCGGAGGAGCCCGCCGGCCCGCTTGTGTCCATTCGTGCCCCCCTCGTTTGTCTCCTCACGACCCTCATCCTGGCACGCCGGGACAGCCCCCCACCTCCTGTCGTGCTTGTCAGCGCGAGGGGTTTTCTCGGACGGCGGAAGCCCACCCCCAGTCCCGACTCCCATCCCCGAGCCGGCGATTCAAGATGTCGGGATTTTCAGGCCCCCGGAGACCAGGACACAGATACACCAGGACAAGGAAAACCAAGGAAACGACATCCTTTCCTGCAAAGTCACGTTCTTCAGCACCCGTGCATGTTTTGTTTGCTGCACTGCAGGATTTGGGTTTGTGTCCGGGTTTAGGGGTGCCTTGCAGGCTTTTGGGGTCTGTGTCTGGGTTCATTCTGGACATGCTGCAGCGCAGTATTGTGTTCGTGCCGCCGTTGGGAAAACTTGGCTTCGAGGGATGTTTGGTGTCCGGGTCTAGCGTGTCCGGGTCTATGGGGCCTGAGATTTGGAGGTGGGGGCGTTTTCTCCAGTCTTGGACCCCGAATTACGCTACCGAGGAACCCCACATACTTATATTATGGCTGGAGTAATGATAACTGAAATGAAGCATGTGAGAATGATGTAGGTGGCCGTTGCCCCGCCGATACCGTTGGTGACGTCAGTCACGAGGAGAGGGGGGAGGAGAGTGGACGACAGTCACGGATAGCGGCCGCGCTCAGGGACCACCACGTGCGCACCCCCCTTATGGTGTCGAGAAAACCGCCACGCCTGCCGTGCCCTGGACGACCGTTACGGATAGCGGCCACGCTCAGGGACCACCCCGTGCGCACCCCCTGTGGTGTCGAGGCAACGCCACGCGTGCTGTGCCGTGGACGACCGTCACGGATAGCGGCCGCGCTCAGGGAATACCCCGTGCGCACCCTTGGTGGTGTCGAGAATATGCCACTCTTGCTAGGGCAAGGACGACTGTCACGGATAGCGAGCGCGCTCAGGGACCACCCCGTGCGCACCCCTTGTGGTGTCGAGAACCACGCGTACCGTGCCCTGGACGACCGTCACGGATAGCGGCCGCGCTCAGGGACCACCCCGTGCGCACCCCGTTGTGGTGTCGAGAAAACGCCACGCCTGCCGTGCCTTGGACGACCGTCACGGATAGTGGCCGCCTTCTCGGACCACCCCGTGCGCACCGTTGTTGGTGTCGAGGCAACGCCACGCTTTCTACGGCAAGGACGACCGTCACGGATAGCGTCCACGCTCAGGGACCACCACGTGCACACTCCTTGTGGTGTCGAGGCAACGCCACGCCTGCTGTGCCTTGGGCCTTGGACGACCGTCACGGATAGCGGCCGCCCTCCGGGATTACCCCGTGCGCACCCCCTGTGGTGTCGAGAATTTGCAGCGCCAGCTGGGGCAAGGACGACCGTCACGGATAGCGGCCGCCCTCCCGAACCACCCCGTGCGCACCCCCCGCGGTGTCGGGAACCCCGTGCGCACCCCCTGTGGTGTCGAAAAAATGCTACGTCTGCCGTGCCTTGGACGACCGTCGCGGATAGCGGCCGCCCTCAGGGACCACCCCGTGCGCACCTTTCTGTGGTGTCGAGAAAACGCCACGCCTGCCGTGCCCTGGACGACCGTCACGGATAGCGGCCGTCTTCGCGGACCACACCGTGCGCACCTTTCTGTGGTGTCGAGAAAACGCCACGCCTGCCGTGCCCTGGACGACCGTCACGCATAGCGGCCGCGCTCAGGGACCACCCCGTGCGCACCCCCCTTGTGGTGTCGAGAAAACGCCACGCGTGCCGTGCCCTGGACGACCGTCACGGATAGCGGCCACGCTCAGGGACCACCCCGTGCGCACCCTCTGTGGTGTCGATCGAGAAAACGCCACGCTTGCCGTGCCCAAGCCGACCGTCACGGATAGCGGCCGCGCTCAGGGATTATCCCGTGCGCACCCTTGGTGGTGTCGAGAATCTGCCATGCCTGCTGTGACCTGGAGAATGGGGGGGGGCGGGAGGTGGTGAGGGAGGCGCGGGTGCGACGCGGGTGGGAAGAAAACCAAAACCCCACGAAACATGTGGGGGGAAAAACAATCGCAACCCCAGTCCCGACCCCCTGGTTCGCGGGTTCGGGGATTGGGTCGGGATTGGGGATGGGGGTGGGTTTTCGCCTTCCCATTCTCTTTTTTGCAGAATCGCACGGAACAGCGCGGCGGGTGATGCTGTCAGTGTCCCGTTCTTCGGGGCCTCTGCCAGGCCCCAGGGCCGCCAACGAACTGTTCAGGATGAGAAGTCAGTCTTGGGGAAGAGGTCCAGACCTCCAGTGATCCGTGTTGTGACAATAGCGACGTCGGAGTTCTGGGAACCGCTCGCAGAGGGGAAGAATGGTAGGTGTTCACATCTTCATATATATATATATATATATATATATGTGTGTACGCTTATACATCTAAACTATGGACGGACGCATTATCATACCCAAATCTCCGAGGGAACATAGCTTAGAAGTGGGTATTCGTCAGGACTTCCCGCTTGCGCTTGTGTTTGGCCGTTTCGCTGGGGGCACCCTCATAATTCTGACAATCGGACGCGCCCATCACGCAGAACGCGACGTCAGGGTAAGACGTACCCGAAACGTACCCAGCCCCTTCTCCACGCAAGGCGACTATTCATAGGAGCTTCCCAGATGAAGAACGCATTGCGAGACATGCACGATCTGCGTTACCCTGCACTCCGCCGCGTTTCCCAGGAAACCCCAAAAGTGGCGATTGATTCTCAGTTCGCAGCCCCCGAGTGAGCCGCGAGGTCCTGAGTGCACTGCGCTGCCCTGCACGCCGCCGTGAACGTGGCGACCGTTGCCCAGTTCGCAGCCCAAGAGGGAGCGCGGCGAGGACCCAGATGCTCTGCGCTGCCCTCACCTCCGCCGTGCCTGCCAGGAGCCCACGGAAGTGGCGGCAGTTGCGCAGGTCGCAGCCCTCTACGGGAGCCGCGAGGTCCTAAATGAATCAGCGTTGCCCTCGCCTCCGCCATGCCTTCGAGGAGCCCGTCAACGTGACGACCGTTGCGCCGTTCGCAGCACCTGAGGGAACCGCGAGGCCTCCGATGGCTCTGCGCTGCCCTGCACGCCGCTGTGTCCCCCCAGGAGCCCACGAACATGGCGACTGTTGCGCAGTTCGCAGCCCCCGAGTAGAACAGACACGAGGAAGGAAGGCACGGAGGTAGTAGAAGGAGGAGGTAGAGGCGAGCAGGAGGGGGAGGAGGGCAAGGAGGAGGTGGAGGAGGAGGAGTAGGAGGAGCAGGAGGAGGAGGAGGAGGAGGGGGAGGGGGAGGAGGAGGAGGAAGACGCGCGAGCAGTGCTCGATTGAAAACGAGAACCCAACATTGCAGTACGTAGCACCCTGCAAAGGCGGATGAGAGTGAGGGGGCGGTGGGGACGTCGGCGGTCTGCAAGACTCTGGAGAAGCCCGCCGCATGCGCCCAAATTTCACAAAGTCTACAACGAGCCCGCCGCAGGCGCCGTTTCTTCAAACCAATGCGGATCGGTCGCGGGTGGGTCGCGGGGTAGGTCGCAGGTGGGTCGCAGGTGGGTCGCGGGTGGGTCGCGGGTGGGTCGCGGGTTGGTCGCGGGTGGGTCGCGGGTGGGTCGCGGGTGGGTCGCAGGTGGGTCGCGGGTGGATCGCGGGTGGGTCGCGGGTGGGTCGCGGGGTGGGTCGCGGGTGGGTCGCGGGTGGGTCGCGGGGTGGGTCGCGGGTGGGTCGCGGGGTGGGTCGCGGGGTGTGTCGCGGAGTGGGTCACGGGTGGGTCGTGGGGGGAACGGCGACAACAAACAACCACAACAACAACAAGCAGAATCCTCACCGCGGATGCTCATGTCAGCCACGCACCCAGGGTCAATGAATGACCGTTCGGCCCCCTCACTCTGATCATACATTTGATCTCACAGTGGAACACAATTTTTCTGCACAGGTTTTGCTAGCAGACAATGTGTTTGCTCTGTTGCGTCCTATGCAGTCTACCAGCATTGTAGAACCTTCCAATGCGCTGTGGAGTTGCTTCTTTTATTAATCGCTTCGCTCATTCCGCCGGCCCATACAGTCTCATGTCTGCCGTTTGCCCGAGGGCCTGGTGTCAATGCGGCGCTTTGGGGGTTCCTGGGGCCGCTTGGGGGACTCCTGGGGCGCTCGGGGGGGCATTTGGGGGGCCTCCTGGGGCCGCTTGGGGGACTCTTGGGGGCCTCCTGAGGGCCTCGTGGGGGCCTCTTGGGGCCTCTTAGGGGCCTCTTGGGGCCTCGTAGGGGCTTCTTAGGGCCGAGGGCTCGAAATGTTGTTTCGTGTTCCCTCTCTGGGGCCCCTTTGGGGGCGTTCTTGGGGCCCTCTTGGACCGTCTTGGAGGCTTCTTGGGCCGTCTTCGAGCCCTCTTGGGCCATCTTGGGGCCCTCTTGGGGGCCTCTTGGGCCCTCTTGGGGCGAGCTTGGGGGCCTCTTGGGCCGTCTTGGGGCGTCGGGAAGCCGAAAAGGTGGAAGCTCCAAAATCTCTCCCAAACCTAAGGAAAAACAATGAATTGTGCCTCCGGGGGCCCTCTTGGGAGTGCTCTTGGAGGCCTCTTGGGGCGTCTGGGGGCTATCTTGGGCGTCTTGGAGCGATCTTGTGGCATGTCGGACCCCTCGTGTACCATCTTGGGGGCCTCTTGGGGGCCTCTTGGCCTTTCTTGGGGCTCTCGGGGACGTCTCGGAGCCTGTTGATGCGCTCATGGAGCGCTCCTGGAGCGCTCTGGGGGAGTCTCCCGGGGATCGCCCGGGGGTCGGTCGGGGTACTTTTCGTCCGGGGACCCCCAGGGGCCGCCCCGCGCGCGCGAACTAGAGAATTGTTAACCAGTTACCGGAGATCTTAGCACGCCTCTGGCCCGTTGGGCAGGCGAATTTTCCCGTCTGTTCCCGTAAGCAATTCGACGCGTGCCCCCGGGCATCTCGACCCCTTCATGGGGCGAGCTTTTCATCCAGAGCCGCTTTCTGGGTGTCCTGAGGCCGGGAAGCTGCTCTTGGAGGCAAGGCATCTTGGTAGCTCGACCTTTGGGTGTCCGGTTCCGGCGTCCGAATTGGAGGGGAGCTCTTGCTGAGCCACCTTGCACGCTTGACTGGAAAGGAGAAAGGGGGAGTTCCCGATCTCGTGGAGTTGCGCTGGTCGGGTCGCGAACAGGAGCAGGTGGGTGAGCAAGCGATGGCCCCATCCCGTGGTAATCCGCCGTTTCGTGCAAAGTCTACCTCAGTTTGTCCTTGAGGTAGTCGGTGGCCAGCCGGGCTTGCTCAGACCTTCGACCCGTCTCCTGTTTCCTCCTCCTCCTCTTCTGTTATCCGTCCGCTTCTCTCCTGCTCCATCCGCTCCGCCTTCCTGACCTCCTCCCTGTCGCGCTTCTGGGCTGCGAAGAAAACCGGTCCCGACCAGCCCCTCTGCGAGGCTTGTTCACAGGACAGGTTGCCCCCCTGTATGAAGTTTCTTTCTCGGTGCAGATAGGCGCCTTCCAGCCACAACGACCCCAGCCACTCCCGACTCCTAGAGAGTCAGTGCTGGAAAATCGGCGAGATCGCGGAGAGGTGCAGAGGGAAGAGGACGGAGCGAGGAAGCTCGACATTTGGAGGAACAGGGGGGGCCACGAGCCATGGGCACACTGGGCGGAGACAGATCAGCCACGCGCAGAGGGGGGCGTGGGGGAAGGGAGGGAGGGCTTCTTAGGAGCACCCCCAGCGCCTCCTGAGACGCAGCCTCCTAAGAAGCCCCCCCCCCTCCCTCCATCCCCCCTGTGCGCGCCGCCAGACAGAGGATCTCCTCGACTCGATGCTTCCACGATTCCTCCTCGCTCTGTTCTCCTCCCCCTCCTCCCCCCTCCCTCTCTGCCCAGCCCCCCCCCTCCCCCCCAACCAGGAGGAGCGGCGGCGCGCCCCGTCGTGTGTTGGGGGCCTCCTTCGTCGTCGTCCTCCTCCTCCTCCTCCTCCTCCTCCTCCTCCTCCTCCCCTCGTCGTCCTCGTCGTCGTCGTTCTCTTCTTCCCCCTCCTCCTCCCCCTTATCCTCCTCCTCCTCCTCCTCCTCCTCCTCCTCCTCCTCCTCCTCATCCTTGTCCTCCCTTTTCAGCAGCGAGCGCGGGTCTGTGCCGAGCTCGGTAAACAGGGTGCGTCTGGGACTCGGGCCGCTCTCCGAGAGGCCTCCCCGGGGGACCGCGCGGTGGCGGACCGCGCGGCGGCGGACCGCGCGGGACGTCGAGGCCACCGCGCGTTCCGCCTCCGCGCGGCTATGGTTTTCCTCTCCGTGGCGTGCCCAAGCCGGAGGGGCCGATTGTCCACCACCACACACCATAGGTAGGGTCAGGAGGAGGAGGAGGAGGAGGAGGAGGAGGAGGGGGAGAGGGACGGTGTGACAGCGGCGCCAACGCGAACAGAACAGTGCAGAGGAGGAGGAGGAGGAGGAGGAGGAGGAGGAGGAGGACCTCCCCATCCTCCCTTCTTCCTCGCCCTCGCTATGGTAGTGGTGGTGGACACTGGCCCATCAAAGCCCCACACCCGTCCCGTGAGAAGTTGTATCCGGTACGATTCTGTCAGGTCCGCCCCCGAGCCTGGACGTCGCCCGGAGGTTGGGTCGGGGCCGCCGCGCCGCCGTGAGGTACAAGGTCGATGTCGGTTCGGGGAGGGCGCCCTAGTGGTCTTCGTGTCTGTTGGATGTTTCTGCGCACCCGTGGGGAGGGTATCCCTGGCTGTTCTGTGCGATTTGACCGGCGGAGGGCCTCATGTTCTCGAAGGGCTTTCTTCTGTCCTACCAACCCGACCCCGATACTCTGCGTTTGCCGAGCGGCCCTGGGAGTTTACCAAACAGCCCTGCCCTGCTCGATTCCTTCCCTGGGTGCGTTTACTGCACCGCTTTGCTCGTCGGGGTGCTCATTTGGAGGGTGGATGTTCTGCTCGCTACGCTTACTCTCGAAGGAGAAAAAAGGCAGCTGCGCAAAACTCTCGGCGCCGTGCGCGGATCTCTTGGGTCGGCTGTATACGGCAGGTTCGCGCCGCATTGGTTCCTGACACCGCGGAGATCGTTCCATATTGAACGATCGGCCCTTCCATCACCGCCGGATCATCCAACGACGGGCCGATCCTGGGCCGCGGGCGGCTTTCGACGTGGAACGCCCGCAGCGGGGTCGCGGCGAGTCGGCACGACGCGAACCTGCCGGAAAGAAAGAGGGAGGAGGAGGAGGAGGAGGAGGAGGAGGAGGAGGAGGAGAGCCTGCCCGCCCCCCCCCTCCGCCGCGCGCGCGGCCGAGGACGCCCCGCCGAGGCGGCCGCCCTCCCCCGAGGGCGGCGCGCCCCTGCGGCCGCGGGCGCGCTGCGACCCGCAGAGGCCACCGGGCCGCCACCGGCCACGGCCACGGCCACGGCAAGGGCCACGGCCAGGGGCGGCCACGGGCAGGGCCACGGCCAGTGGCGGCCGCGGCCACGGTCGGCAGCGCAGCGCCAGGACGCGGCCACGGCCGCGGCCACGGTCGGCGGGGCGGCCGCGGGCACGGCCGCGGCCACGGTCGGCGAGCATGGCGCCGCAGCGCCGAGGCAGCGGCGGTGCGGCGGGAGGTGCAGCCCACTGCTCTGCACGCCGACGCAGCGGCGATGCGGCGCGAGCCTCGGACCCCATCGGCTCGGGCCCCATCCAGGAGGCCTCTGGTTGCGAAGAGCGGTCCGAGTGCAGTGTCTGGCAAGACAGCTGCGCACACACACACACACACACACACACACACAGGAAGTCAGCATTGGCGGGAGAGGAGGGTCTGCAGCAGCGCTTCCCCGCCATCCCAGCCATGTTCCCCAGAGGCCCCCCAGGGGGCTGGGTTGGCAGCACGCATCTTGCGCTGCACACGCGTCCGGCCCGGGACAGAAAGCCATGATGTGAGATCGGACATTGCGAGAACGACATTTGCCCAGACAAGTCGACGAGGGATATCTCAGCCCCCCACCAGCCGGCCCCAGGCCTGGCGCCGTCGGGAGCGATGGGGTCGACAGCTCCGGGCGGGCTTCGCGTCGTGGGCCCTTTCGCTGCACCGACCTTGGGGGGCCCAGCAGGAGAAGGTCAGGGGCAACGCCGTTTGGGGGAGGTTAGTTGCACGCGGGTCGTTGGGCTCGGGTATTCCTGGGTATCCAGATCCCAAGATACCTCAATCGCCTTCCTACTTCAAGAGTCGAGATGTTTCCGTGGCTCATTGTTATCATCTGGGCGGGCTCGAGCCCTGCGTTATCCGCCCTCTTTTCATGGTCCCATCTACTTCCGACTGGCGTCGCCCCCCCCAGACCCCCAAGTTTCAAGGCAGATGCCGAACCAAATGACTTCAGCATTTTCGTTGGCGTCCGCGGGCCGGGCCGCGCGTGCAAACTGAACACTGAAATTTTTGGGCGAGGGGTGGTCGGCAAAACCTGCCTTAGGTTTCGCGGAGTGCTGACGGGGCCTGATGGCCGAACCGGTCCAGGAACGTGTGGTTTCGCTACCGCAGGCCTGTTGCCGATCTCCGGGGGTGGAAAAGTCTCCTACCCTGACACGTCGATTAGCGACTTGGCCGTTTTCGGTTCGCGAGAGGGCGTCGCGGCCGTCATTCTTGCGGGTCCAGGTCCGTCGGTTTCGGTCCCCGGCCGTTTTCACGAAGGGGAGGTTTACTGAAGGCAGGTTTGTCCACTGGCGAGATCTGTCTGCCTGCGACGCGTCTTGGTTCCAGGCTGATGCTTCGCATCGCTAGGCCAGCCCCCCCCTTATCGTTGCCCCTCAGGCCGCCGGCGTGCCCCTTGCCCGGGCACGCCGGGTCGGACGAGCCCAGACATCAGGCATCTTGGGAAAAAGGCCAGCCATTGAATCAGTGGCGGAGCGTTTTTGGCTTTCATTTCGACCCACCGAAGGATATTTTAAGAAGCTGTTGTGGTTTGTACGAACTGCTATTAGAACAGTTCTGCCTGAGAGAGTCTTGTTTTAATGCATCTGATTTGTTTTCGAAGACCGTGGAGGCCCTGGCGACCCTCTATTCCCCGACGCCCGCGCTCGCGCGCGCGTGGCAGCTTCCTGGCGGACCACGCCGAGGACATCCGCAGGGCGCGCCGCCGCCAGCGCTGGGCCGCCGTGCGGAGCAGAGGGGGTGGAAGCGAGGGACGGGCACGAACAGATTGGGTCGGAGGTGGATAGACGCCCTCAGATCGTGAATCACTGAAGTCTCCGCTTGTCTTGGATTGCGTATCGGCGAATAGCCCCCAATTGGCGCCCAGTAGCACCGAATGGTGCGCAATGTTAGCCAGCGCGGGCCCCACCAAGAACTGTGTTCCAGCAGGTGGTACGACCTGTGTGGTGCAGGATGTGCGGTGTCAGACCTGCGGCGCAAGCTATGTGCAATACAGGTGGTGCCATGTTTGTGGCGTGAACTACGTGGTGCAATCTAGGTGGTGTCATCTATGCGGTGCAATCCACTCTGCTGAATTTGAAGTCGTCATCTCCACTGCTCGCGCAAACATCCCACCCACCCACCCGCAACTTGGTTTGCAAAACCTCTTAAGACCGACAACGACGACACCGACGACAACGACTACGACGACACCGACGACGTCTTCGACGACTTCGACGACGACAACGACGCCGACGCCGACGACGACGAAGACGACGACGACGCCAACGAATGCGACGACGAGGGAGGAGGAAGAACGACGACGGCGACAACGACGACAACGACGAGGGAGGAGGGAGGACGGCGACGACGCGAACGACGAAGAAGGAGGAAGGACGGCGGCGCCGACGACGACAACGACGAGGGAGGAGGGAAGACGACGACGACAACGGACGACGACGACGACGGCGACGAAATAGGAGGGACGACGACGAGACGCCGACGACGGACGACGACGACGACGAGGGAGGAGGAGGAAGGACGACCACGGCGACAACGACGACGGAAACGACCACGACGCCAAAGATGACGACGACGACGAACACGAGGAAAGACAAAGGACGACGCAGGCGACGACGACGACGACGCGGGAGGAGGGAGGACGGCGACGACGACGACGACGACGCAAGAGCGCGCGCGCACGCTTTTGTTGAAGATCCGTGTTGCGAAACCTTGTGTTTTTGTAAGTTTTTGGGACACACGATTTTGAAATCCTTCCGAAACCGATGGGTTTTGAAGGTTTTCGGCATACGCGCGCGACGACGCGCGCGTCTGCACTTCGTCTTGTTTTTTGCAGAGGATTCTCGCGACGGCACACGCGCAAGGGCGTTCGACAGATTTCGACATGCGCACGCGCGAAGCCCGTCTAATAGCATGTTGTGAAAATATTGAAAACCTCATGGTTTTGTTTGAAGATTTTCGAGAGTTCGCGCGGAAGCTTTTTTAGCAAATAAGTGTTGCGAAACCCTCTGTTTTTGTATGTTTTTTAGAAGCTCGATTGCGAAATCCTTCCGGCACCGAAGGTTCTTGAAGGATTTCGGCATGCGCGCGCGACGACGCGCGCGTGCGCACTTCGTCTCATTTTTTGCAAGGGATCCGCGAAACAGTGCTATGTTAGAACAAAAAATGTCACCGCATTTTTTTTTTTTATTTTTTTTGTATCAGGGGGGGACCCGGCCCCCCTGGGATAGTGTAAATTCATATTTCGGATGGACATGTGGTCAGAATCATATATAATTTACATACCCGAAAGGGAGAGTGATAACGCCGGGGGAGGGGGGGTATATCCTATTCTGTTTAGGAGAATACATGATACTACATGCAGTGGAATATGTCTGAGGTGAACTATGTGGTTCAAGCTGTCTTGTGCTATCCACGTGGTGGACTGCATCTGGTGCATCATAAGTGGTGCCGTTCACCAACGCTCGATTTGAAGTTGTCCACTCCACTGCTCGCGCAAACATCCCACCCACCCACCCGCAACTTGATTTGCAAACCCCATGCGGAAGCGATTGCGATGAATCGGTGGTGGTGGTTGGTGCATGTTAGCGGCCTCGCATGCTCGCGCGCGCAGCGGTCAGCTAGTTTGGCGCGAGCGACGCGAACGCGGTGGCGCTGACCGCTCGGCACATCCCAGCGGGCACTTCAGTGCGAGTCGGCGACTTGGGCGGACGCGGTGCTATGGCAATGTCGGCAAAGGTAGACACGATGATGATACTAGCGGTGTTGGCGACGATGTTGACAGCGACGACGGGGCAAATAGTGAGGGCGCCGATGCTGATCACGCCGACGACGATGACGGTTTCTTCGCGTTGGTGGTGAAGGTGTTGGGAAGAACTTGAAATGCGCGCACGGCAGACGCGCGAGAGTGGCCCACATGGTATTATTTGGGACGGACCGTGCCATCCCAGCGCGCGCGCAAGGGCGCCCGAACGATTTCGATGCGCGCGCGAGGCCCGTTCGGTAGCATTTTCTGAAATCGATGAACAACCATTGGTTTTCATAATAATTCGCATCACAGCGCGCGCACGCTTGTGTTGAACATCCGTTTTGCGAAACCTTGTTTCTTTTGTTTGGATAATTGCTTAGGACACTCGATTTTGGCATCCGTGCGAAGCCGAGCGTCTTTAGAAAAGGATTCTGGCACGCGCGCGCGACGACGCGCGCGCCTGCACTACGTTTCATTTGTTGCAGCAGATTCTCGGGACGGCACGCGCGCAAGGGCGTTCGAACGATTTTGGCATGCGCGCGCGAAGCCCGTTTGGTAGCATGTTCTGATTTTTTGTTGAAAACATAATGGTTTTTGAAGAAATCGCAATGCGCGCCCGCACGCTTGTGTTGAAAATCCGTGTTGCGATTTTTGTGTTTAATCATGTTTTCTGGACACCCGATTTTGAAATCCTTCCGGAACCTAGCGTTTTTGAAAGAGTTCGGCATAGTGCGCGCGCATCGTTTTTTTTTGGATGGCGGGAGAAGTCGAAACCAGGCCTGGTCCGGGATGGGATGAAATCGTAGGGAAAATGAACGAAAGGTCACGATCATAGATGAGTTTCCAACCGAAAGGCGTAACGGATAGCCCCGGGGGGGGGTGGGGGGTGGGGGTAGAATCGACTTTTTGGTTTAATGAGAGGAGAATATTTGCGGTGCCATGTAGGCTCTGCATTATGGGTCTTGCAATCGATGGGTGCGTATTGCACACATACTTGTATATATACATATTTGTGTATAGTTTGTGTATTTCAAAAACGGCCTTCGGCCCATCCCGCCACCGTGCGTGTGGTGTGGGTTTGGGGCATCTTGGATGTTCGGTGGCATCTCGTCGAGGCTCTTCGGAGGCCTCTTCGAAACACTTGTCAGGTTTTGGTGGGCCTCTGTGGGAGGCCTCCTGGGCCTTCTTTGGGACCTTCTGGGGCCTTTTGGGCGCTTTTCGGGGCGGAAAGCTCGGATTTTCGGTTCGTGATCCCCTTCGTTGGCCCCTGTTGGAACCGTTTTGGGGCCCTCTTGGGAGCCTCTGTGTCCGTCTTGGGGCGGTCATAAAAAGCATTCTGGAAAGTTTTGGAGCGTCCAGCGCTATAGAAAAGTGGAGAACCCCCAGAAACATGGAGAATCCTAAAGAATGTCAATGACCTCGGCCTCTCGTGGCCCTCTTGGGAGGGGTCTTGGGGTTCCGCCGCCCCGCCGCCGTCGCCCTCGCCGCCGCCGCCGTGGGTGTTGCCCTCGCCGCCGCCCGGCCCCCCCAAGAGCGGCGGGCGGAAAGCGGGCCCGTGCCGCGCCATGTCCGAGCCATGGCGCCCGCCTCGGCGACCCTCCGAGCGCGCCCCGCCGAGCGAGGCCCGCCTCCGCCCCGCCCCGCCCCGCGACCGACCGAGCGCGGGCAGGGAGTCTCAGAGGAGGAAGAGGTAACCGCTCATTAAAGGTCTTCAGTTTGGGCCCATCCCCTCCAATTTTCTCGGCGGTAGATGGGACGGGTCCTAAAACCTCCTCCTCCTCCTCCACTTCCTCCCTCCTCCTCCTCCTCCTCCTCCTCATTCTCGTCCTCCTCCTTCCCCCCCCCTCCTCCTTCTCCTCCTCCGCCTCCTCCTCCCCTCCTCCTCCTCCTCCTCCCTCCTACTCCTACTCCTACTCTCCCCTCCTCCTCCTCCTTCTCCTCCCTCCTCCTCCTCCTCCTCCTCCTCCTCCTCCTCCCTCCTCCTCCTCCTCCTCCTCTCCTCCGCCTCCTCCTCCTCCTCCTCCTCCTCCTCTCCTCCTCCCCCTCCTCCTCCTCCCTCCTCCTCCTCCCTCCTGCCTCTTTCCTCCTCCCTTTTTCCCTCCTCCCTCCTCTATCCTCCTGCGGCCGCGGAAAGACCCAAGTTTCAGGGTCACCGATGCGGCTACCTTTCCCTCGTGTCCGCCCTGTTGGGCCTCCTGGGAAGCCCTCCTCGCATCGACCAGATTCGCCTCGAGATCTTGGAGGACGTCTGGGGAGGAGCGGTGTCGGTGCCTCTCGGTTTACCCGGAGCCGGAGCCTGCTGCTCCCCATCCGGTCGACTCCCGCTCGGGTCGCCCTCGGAGCCGCCTCTCAGCGACCGCAGCCCGCAGCCCTGGTGTCGCTGCCTGTGGGCGGGGACTGCGCCTTCTCGTGTGAATTCTGTCTAACTCTTTCTCCTCCTCCTCTCCTCCTCCTCCTCCTCCTCCTCCTCCTCCTCCTCCTCCTCCTCCTCCTCCCTCTCCTCCTCCTCCTCCTCCTCCTCCTCCTCCTCCTCCTCCTCCTCCTCGCAGCTCCTCCTCATGTTGATATGATGCATTTCCGCTGGGTTGCTCAAAGATGTGGTGTCACCGCAGGGTCCTCCAAAGTCACGGCGTCGGTGTATAGTCCATTGTTTGGACTCCTTGCAGGGTGCCACGATGACGACGAGTCAAAGGAGGGCAGTCGAAGAATGACAATGCATTGCATGTGCGTAATTATTTGGAGTTTCACGCGGATTCCACGGATCCACGCAGCGCTCCCCACGGCAGCGCCTGCGTACCTCCCCTGGAGCTCTCCGCGCGCAAGGGACGGGGTCCAGCGCCGATCCAAGACCTCCCCGTGGACCTCCGAGAAACGGTGCTCATGATGCAGCTCTGTTGTTCCTCTGAGCGGGGCGTCGGCCAGGACCTAGCCGTGGTTAGGCACGCGGGGTTGGTTGGGCCCGAGAAGCCTGAAGCTGCAACCAGTCTCCCTCCTCCTCCTCCTCCTCATCCTCCTCCTCCTCCTCCTCCTCCTCCTGGGGGGGTGCTCTGGAGGCCGCGGGGGCCTCCTTGAAAATTCCGGGGGCGCCTCGGGCCGGGGCCGCTTCTGGCAGCACCCGAGCAGTCGCGTTGCCACCCCCCGGGATCGCTGGAGACGGACCATTCAGGGGCGGGGGGGAGTTGGGAACCCCCAAACCGGGTGGTGAGATACCAGGTGGCGACCTGGAATCCCCAAAAAGGTCACCGCTGGGTTTGGGGACGCGGGGTCACCACCCGGTTTTGTGACTCCTGGACCCACCAGTGTCCGGGACATCTTCGGAAAACCGCACGAGTCCCCAAACCGGGTGGTGACACCAAATCGCCCGAGACTCACCGCCAGGTGTTGTCACCACCACGTTTGGGGACTACCAAGGGAGGATCATGGTGGCTATTTTACCCCCCGATGCCTCCCAGCGGCTGCGCTTCGCCGAGGAGCGTTCCAAGGCCGCCGGAAGCCCGAGCTGGAGCTGTTACCCGAAAGCCACGGGTCGAGGACGGAGTCCTCCTGTCGGCGATCTCGGCTTCCTCCCAGGCTTCGGGGGCTTCCGCGAGGCCCCCGGAAGCCCCCAGGGGACAGGGACTTGGAGGGCCGGGGCGGGATCGAGAATGGAGGATCGATGATCGAGAGTGGGGAGAGTCGAGGTATCGAGAGGGTGTAGAGGGAGGAGGGAGGAGGAGCAGGGGGGGAGTCGAGGAGAAATTGATGAGATGAATATTTCGGGCAGGGAGGAGGAAAAGGAGGAGGAAGAGGAGGGAGGAGGGAGGACCGAGGATGGAAGAGGGATGAGGGAGGAGGGAGAAGGAGGAGGTCACGCGACGTACGCTGGAAGCGCCCGAGAATGTTGGCACCCGGGTCGCTAAAAGACTTTAAAAGTGTTTGCAACAATCATTCAAAACAGGGGACTCGAAATGATGGATGTGGGGACGGGTCGATGTGCGATGTGTGAGCTATTTGCCAGCGTACGCTGGGCAAGTCAGGCTTGCAGGCAGCAGTTAGTAGGAACGGCTAGCACGAACCTGCTTTGAGCTTTGCGGCAAAAAGGGCACGACAGGAATCGAGGACTCCTCGCAGTGCCTCTCGGTACGGGGGCAGGGTCTGGAGCTGGCTGGAGGCCTGAGGTGGCACAGCACTGGCTGCGGCCAATAGAGATGGGGGGGACATAATCAGTTTTCCTTTTGGGGGGGGGCGGGGGAGACTTCGAGGGGGCTTCCTGTCGCCACGGCTGGGCGCGGCTCGACAAATTGGTGCGCTTGGGCCCGGGGAGGGGCCCGGGGACAGATGTTGGAGCGGCCAGCGAGCCTCGCCAGGTACAACAGTGTCGGTTGAGCAGGAGGAACCGGAGGACTTTTACGCCTGATTGCATGAAGTCTCTTGACATTGGGCCACGCGCGCTGTTGTTGCACATAGCATGCCATGCAGCACTGATTGCCGTGGACCGTGTAAGCGGCGTGTCGTGCCGCCCGCAGCCCGGGCGGCAGGCGCGTGCAAGGGGCCCCCGTGCAAGGGGCCCCCCCCTCCCCTGGCAAGAGGGGTGCGCTCGGCTCGCGGGGGGGGGTGGGCACGCAGAGCCTCGCGAGTGCTTCCGCAGGGGCCTCGGTGTGGCCAGAGATGGCAAGCGGCATCCAAGTCAGGCCAGCCACAGCTGGGGGATCTGTGGCCCTTGCCCCCCCCTGGGGGGACCCCTCGATTTCGGCGCCCCTCTCGAGAGATCGTCGATGCGATGGGTGCCCCCAGGGGGGTAGGGACCACGGCTGCCCCAGTCGTGGCTGGTCGGTGCCTCTGCCTGCAGAGAGATCGCTCACCACACGAGCCCAGTTGTCGGGAGAGGCAGTGCCCGACGTCGGGGGCGGGCCCCGAGAACAGCGCGGCAGCACCCCTTGTCCTGCACCTGGTCGGAGGCGCACGCTTTTATATATATATATATATATATATATATATATTTGTTTCTTAAAAAATATTTGCTTATAAAACAAAAAAGCGAAGGGGAAATGGATTGCAACAGCGCCCCCCCCCCAAACCTCTCCTAAAACAGAGCGCCTCGCAGCACCTCAAGCTTTGACACGAGTCGGACAATTCCGCCAGGGGGTGGTCCATCGCGCCTCAACATAGGCCAGCGGGATCGACAACATCTGGAACTGTCCATTCCTCAAGCCGCAGTGGCACACGAGTCAGGAGGGCCAGAATCAGACAAAGCGGCTTGCAAGGATCAGGCCAACAATCCGCAAGCTCCTTTCGCAAGGTGAAACTGCGGCAGCAACTTCTGCACCGCACGGCGGAATTAGAGACGCGAGTCTCACGACCCGCATCCCTAAGCCGACAGCACCTCCGAGAGGCTAGTGGACTGGCCCTTCATACGACTGGGGACAGGTTGACCAGCAGGAGACGCCGCAAAATCACATCAGGCGCACATGTATCGGCCTGCAGGGTCCGCTAAACATCAGAATCCGAGAGCTGCCCGCGGGCAGCAGCCTCGTCGGCAGAACAAACACAACAGCCGCCCTTTTCACGTGCATCTCGACAGGGTCTAAAACAATTGCTTTTGTGTTGGGCCTGGGTCGGGTGAGATGCCGCCCAGATCCAGTTAAGAGAGCCACCGCGCGAACACCTAACCTGATGAAACTCCACCCACAGTTCCAGCATACTATACCCAGACTTGAACGCCACGTTACGCTGGGAACTCTGCGCAATTTGAAGGTAATCACAGTCCTGTCGGCAGCATCCATTGGAATAGTGGGCCAACATAATGGCAGCGTACATTTCTGAACGCGGTGCAGATTGTTTCGCCGTGTGCAAGGTGCCCATCAAGAGCCGATCAAATTGACCAGTCGCGCCTAAGTGGGCACAAGCCTTGTCGCATCTGTGTAAACGTCAGTCCGTATGCCCTCCCCCCGAGCCATCAATGCCCAAGACTCCTCCATCGATCCTACCTCCCCCCGCCAGACGGCCCCACTCCCAGACCAACTCCACAGGGGTTGGCACGTGAGCACGAGAATCAGTAAGCTCTGCAGGCCTCTGAATCAGAGTCACGGACGCTCAGGTAGAATCACACGACCAATGGCGATGTTGAGGCGTCTCAAGCAGGGCGCCGCACCGCGGGCGCCTTTGCAGAGGTGGCAGAAACATATCTAGCATCCGTAATCCTGATCTCCGTCCAGTAGGCGCCGCTGTGGATGTTCCTCGGGATACCTAAGGCCTCGTTCTCACCATACTTATTCAACTTCCTCAAAGTCCTCCTGATTACGGTGAAGCCAACTTCCCCTTCCACTCCCTTCCCCATGTCTTGTAGTGAAGCTTGCTTCCAAGCCAACGCCGCGCACTCATTCACCAAGAGGGACCGGACCAGAGGCGGAAAGAAAAGTGAACGTCAGTCGTGCGCAGCATTTTTGTCCCAACGCGCCAGCACACTGGCGACACAAGATCCCAAGTCAAATCTTTCAGCACAGCCACTGTAGCCGCTCTCGGACCTCAAACGGCTTGCCAGCGGGACCGAGTCTCAGAGAATGCGTGGAACATCTTGTTCCAGGTCTTGGCTGTGAGGAGCCCTCGGTTGTGATCTGGACTGTCCCCATCAACTCCAAACGCA